CTATGTAAATTAGATACAATGTTTTAATGAACTATGTAAATTACATACAATGTTTTAATGAACTATGTAAATTATATACAATATTTTAATGAACTATGTAAATTACATACAATGTTTTAATGAACTATGTAAATTACATACAATGTTTTAATGAACTATGTAAATTATATACAATATTTTAATGAACTATGTAAATTATATACAATATTTTAATGAACTATGTAAATTACATACAATATTTTAATGAACTATGTAAATTATATACAATATTTTAATGAACTATGTAAATTATATACAATATTTTAATGAACTATGTAAATTATATACAATATTTTAATGAACCTTGTAAGTTATATACATTTTAATGAACTACGTAAATTATATACAATGTTTTAGTGAACTTTGTAAATTATATACGTTTTAATGAACTATGTAAATTACATACAAAGTTTTAATGAACTTTGTAAATTATATACAATGTTTTAATGCACTATGTAAATTATATACAATGTTTTAGTGAACTTTGTAAGTTATATACAAAGTTTTAGTGAACTTTGTAAATTATATACAATGTTTTAATGCACTATTAAATTATATACAATGTTTTAGGGAAATTTGTAAATTATATACAAAGTTTTAATGAACCTTGTAAGTTATATACATTTTAATGCACTATGTAAATTATATACGTTTTAGTGAACTTTGTAAATTATATACAATGTTTTAGTGAACTTTGTAAATTATAAACAATGTTTTAATGAACTTTGTAGCTTATATATAATGTTTTAATGAACTGGCAAACTGTTAGACTAATTATCACCAACCGTGACATTTACCCTATGAAAGCAACATAGGAGAATTGATATTTGTATCTAACCTTACCCACCCATCTGTAACACCCAGAAAGTTCCTCTGTCTTTCCCATTCAATGAATGGGTATGCCAGCTACTATAACATAAAACTCACTTGGAAACAGCTTGAAACATTTCGGGCAACAGGCTGGAGGCTAGGATGGGCTCTCGATGAACATAGGTTGACAAAATCACAATGCACAACCCTAACTCTTCGTTGCTGAATTCCTGAAGAGCTCCACCACATTCACTGCATCTTTCAGTGACTGTATCTTCACCAATATGACCACCACCTGATGACTGGCTGGTACTGGAGCGTTTTGACAAAAATCCAATACTACTGTTGTTACTACTTGCTTCAGTTTTTCTGCGTCTAGAAATAACCATAGAATGAGTATTATAGTAATATATTACAGAAACACCCCAATACCCGTAAAACATTATAGCATCACACCAACCACAGTAAAATAGACCTTAGATGAAAAAAGTCTAAACCTGTTATAGTAATATATTACAGAACCCACCCAACAATACACATAAAACATT